GCAGTGTGTAGAAAAACATAAGAAAACAGAAGAAAGGAAATGCGTTACGAATGCAAGAAACGTGACATAGGATTATACTTATATCCATATTGTAGGATTATTGATCCACGTTTCGAATTGTACCACACTTTACTAGATCGTTAGACATGTACATCATGAAATAAAGGTTAAAGTTACTGTTCAATTTTCAGTGTGTGCGCTAGCAATTCAATATTACAGAACACGAATAAATAAATAATGTTGGTTCAACATAGTGAAATTCAGTTTATTTCAACTATTTCAATATACTTTCTGAGAAATGTATTTTACAATTATTTCAATATACTTTTCGAGAAATGTAACAATTCAACACAGAATACGAATAAATAAATAATATCTTGGTTCAACGTAGCGCGATTCAATTTTGTTCCGATTATTCTCAATATATTTTCTGAGAAATATACCTTCTCAGAAATATAACAGTACATAATACGAAGAAATAAATAACATCGGTTTAACGTGGCGCGATTCAGTTTGTTCCGATTGTTTCGATATACTTTCTGAGAAATGCACGCTGACGAGAAATGTCTCGCCGAATTGAATTCCGAATTGTTATGCTACGTGCATAATAATTCGACTACATAATAATACGACTTACGCGTCGAAAGTCTGCCAAAAGTAGCGAAAGGGTTAACGGCTTGTCAATTGTACGAGAGTTAGATTGGCGACCCTATCAGTTAGATAACAAGAACAACGTGCAACGGGTGAACCGCAAGTTCAAGTTCCACGTCTGTAATACCGAAACGGATCCAGTCACGAGCGACCGCAGGCTGTCTGCGAAACACAATTCCCTCCCCTCTCCTCTGTTGGTCGCATTATGAATCCTGGATTATTACAATACTCATCGTCCGGCGTGAAACGAAATTCTGTCCAGCTCGGTGACACAGTTCCTCCAGTTCTCTCTCGGCGATGTCGGGCCAGAGCGCGTAACATTTCCTGTCGCGTCGTGTTGCCGCATTGCAAACATAATCTCATTACGAGCGTGACAAGCCCCGAAACTCGGCCGGACCGCCGCTGTCTGTTCCCTTAATTCCCGGCCTATTTAACGCGTGCATGTCCCGCGGAACAAACAGGTCGCACAACTTTTTACGCACGATCAAGCATTCCCTCTCGTTGTACGTAACAAACATCTGTCGAGTCGTTGTACATACAATGATCGATTTTGACATACACACACGCACACACGCACGCACACGCACACACACACACATACATGTACGTATGTATATGTGCGTATGTGTTTGTTAATATCAGTAACATTTATACAGAAGCAGAGTAGCAATTAGACGGGAATTTCTGCAATTCGCTGGGAAACGCGACGCGCACATGCGTCGAAATTCTCGTACGTGCAAAAAACACAGTTTATCAAAATGGAGTTCTACATCTACGAGCTACCTAAGAGCTATACATCCTCGAATATATTTGCTTGCCGTTTGCATCGTTGCGCGTGAAATTGTCCCGTTGCTCCGGTCGAGCGTTTTTATTCGAATACGCGCGAGATGAATGATCCTCGCGCGTGTGCGTGTGCGTGCACGTGTATGCACGTGTGCACGTGTGGAGAATGCCGTGCGAATTTACCATGCAAGACCCTCGAATAAACGTCAGCTCCAAAATCGAGCAAGATTTAATCGCGCGTTGCTCGAAGGATCTACGGCACCGTCGGAAATCTCGTTACACCAAACGTGTATTTCACTCTCTCTCTCTCTCTCTGTTGTTGTTCTTTCTTGTTTTTTTTCTGTCGTTTTGTTTCTCGTGATGGATCACCAGCGAGGATCTCGTAACGAGATTAAATTTCGCCAAGAGCATATCGTTCCTCAATGGAAAGACACAACAGAAAGACATGTATACATGTAACGCGTGCCCGCGATAAAACGCTCGATCGAACGTTCCGCCGTTAGGGAACGAGGTATTTCTAGTAAGAATTTTCTATCGAACTCGCGCGGAGAGAATTTTCATAAAACTCCGCGCGATGGTCGGAGCCGGAAATATACAACAAGGGGGGCTCGGCTCGGTCGAAGCCAAGACGCATCGAATTGACAACGCGCAATACGTGTGAGCCTACTTTCCTCGCGGTGATAAGGTGTCATGTAAAACCGTGCATGCACAATGCCTGTCCAACGGCGTGTTTTGACGACTAATCTTATGAAATCAGTGTGCTCCCTACCTGCCTCCGGTTTCATACGAAGCCACGTCTCGTTAGAAACGAGATGGCATAGTGTTATTTCGCTCGTTTCGCCCGATGCTTCGTTGCTCGACGCCAGAACCGATCTCTTTCTTCCTTTCCGTTATTTATCGAGCAGACGACAACACGCAGTGATGGCTCGTCTCTATCTACCGCCTCTCGTCGATATATTTAATAAGATAACAAGAAGGAAGGCCATATGTACATATAAAAATATAATCTTATCGCGATCGATCGGGCCTATTTATAATATGTATAGATCGTGCACGTTTATAATATGTATAGATAAAATCCTTCGTGTAACATCGGCCAGTTTCGTTTGTTTCTGTTTTTTTTTTTTTTTTTTTTTTTTTTTTTTTTTTTTTTTTTGATACGTTTTTCGCACATCACATTTTTCGCCGGCGACCGTTCCACTCACGCTCGTCATGCTTGTTCCTTGTTTAGAGTGCGAAGAGAAACATGGTCAGCAATCGCACGACAATTTTATCGTGAATTATACGTTGATCGAGAAACGACTCGTCTACGAATTTTCGTCGAGTTTCGCGAGAGAAGCTAGGACTCGTCGTTGATGAAAGAACGGGACTGGTTCTCGTCGTTTGTAAAACTGCTCAAGTAAAAATCGTGAGATCAATCGGTCGGAAAATTGGGAGAATGGAAATGGAGGGGAGGAGCATTAACGTTTATCTTATTAATTTCTCATTATGAAATTTAAATGTTTGACATAGTATTGAAATATCGAACAGAGCAAGGCTATGAGATTACCTATTACCTTCCTTTTCTCTCTCTCTCTCTCTCTCTTTCTCTCTCTCTCTTTTATGCAAATGGAATATGATAGCTAGTACGATCTACTTTAATATTCCGCGACGCTTTCACGAATGTCGATGCCGGGAGTAAATAGGAAAAAAAAAAAAAAAAAGAAAAAAAGTGGAACGAAATTTCCCAAATTCCCCTATATTTTATTTCCATCGATTAAATTATACTGACGGGGAAATATCGCGGCAATTGCCGGTGTTCTTGGACCGGTTAAGTGGAGGAGCCACTTCTTCGTAGAAAATTGCCTGGTGTCAAGTACCGAAATTATATTGACCTCGTGCCACGGATGTCGAACACGTTCACACCGTTTGAACAGGGAGAGACACATTTGATCACCGCGGAAGCTTATACATTTACGTAGCGCGGCGAATCGAATCGAATCGGTTTCCCTTCTTTCCTCGCGTGTCACATCACGGTGACGCAACGATGGAGCGGTGCTGTTATTCAACTTCTTCATACGAGCGATCGGCAAAAAGTGAAATGGAGTCACGTGTTGCGTTTCGTCCTCATCCGATCCGTTTAATTCCGTCGTGTGACCAGCGAGTTCTTCGTTTTCCCGTATCGTAGACACTCCCTCCGTTTATTAATTAATTGCAGTGAGATTACCGGTTTGCCAGACGTGACCAACTTTTTACGAAATAAAGAAGAGAGATTTAGAAATATACGTGTACGTGTCAGGGAGTGATTTTTGCGGGATTTTTGAAGGACTGAAAGATGTCCAATCGCACGAATACGTTCGGGTATGTCCGTAATAGAGACCGGATATTGGATTCGGAACACGATTTTTCCGATTCCCCGTAAATTTTTCGTTTCGAAAGTTCAGGACCCGAAACTCATTCGAGACCGGATATTGGATTCGGAGCATGATTTTTTCCCCACTCGTTGTAAATTTTTAGTTTTGAAAATTCAGGACCCGAAATTCATTCGTGACCCGACATTGGATTCGGAACGTGATTTTTTTTTTTTTTTGAATTTCAGTTTCGAAAACATTTCCGTGTGTTCCTCGTGTAAGAGCACGTAGTGAATATAAGAATACGTAAGAAAAGAAAGCATTGTGCAAAGATATACCCCGTTCCTTCATTTACGCGAATGAAAATTGGTGAAAAAGAAAGCAAAATGTTGGAAAGAAAAGCCAATATAGAATACACATTTGTTTCACATAGGTTAATAAGAAAAAAAAATAATGTCAGTTCATACAACAAAAGTGAATTTTATTCGATGTTAGTATCGCTACTGTAATTCAAAACAATCAATCTTTTCTTTTTAATTGGCACAAACTCGTTATCCCCGTCGCTTGAATTATTTGCAACTTCGACTTCATTTTCATCGTCAATGTTAATTTTTTTCGGACGATTCGACCTCAAACTTATTTTTTTACTAAGTTTTCCTAAATTTGACGTGCTTGAACATCGAAATAATCGGAATAATCATAATCGGCTTGTAGAATAGAAATACTATGAGTTTTTTTTTTACCGGTGTTATTGTCACTGTTAATTAATATATTTACGATAAATTGGAAAAATCATATCCCGAATCGAATAATGGGTTTCGAGTTCTGAAACAACGGGTATCCGAGCGTATTTTTGTTTTTAATACTTACGATCCCACCCTATCCGATTTGAAAATTATTGAATTCGATCCAATTCCTCTATATCAGTATCAGGTATCTGCACACTTCTGCTCTATATTAATCTGCCTTTATTAAATATTTGCCCAAGAATTTGCAAATTGTACCAAAAGAAAAGAAAAGAAACTGTCTTCTGCTGCGAGAGATTGCACAGAGATTGGCAAATATTATTTCATGATCAGAGATTTCTGCGCTCCAGGCATCTGCAACGTTTTCAAATAGCGAATGAACATTCTCGCGCGGGCACCGTTGCCCGAGAAGTTTATTGTACACAGCCTCGGTCTCGTTCGCCTGCTACCCCTTTCGAGGCTCGAGGCGCACCGCGAGTTGTCTCTTTTCTCACCACCGTGGCGCATTGGCGTGCTACTGGCAAATGGCTACGCGCGAATAATTCAGCCGTGGTGTGTTTTCAAGCGAAAATACGTCGGAAACCAACGGCGAAATCGAGAGGATTCGCGAATGAAGAGGAGGTCTCGCTGATAGACGGAGGAGAGAAATAAAACGAAAGGTAAAAAGCGGAGGGAGGAGGAATGGAAGAAAGAAAAACAAAGTAGGAGAAGCGAGCGTCAGAGACGATGGTTTATTATTTTGCACGACAACGAGAATCAACTTCGTTCAACAGAAGGTTCCGTAACAGATTCGAGGTGAATTTCACTCGCAATGCAGCGGCAATGGATTATTTTCCACGCGACGGGAGAACTAGTTGGAAAGAATTTCTAGGCGAGAACTCTAATTAATTATATCACGGCCGACGTTCGTCCAGCTATCCCAACTATTCGACGGTGGAAAAGTCAGCGACGCGCTTTCGCGAGATGTAGGTTAAACCGAGGCTGCCGCTTTGGTACACGTGCACGTGGATGACGTGAGAGAAAGAGAAAGAGAGAGAGAGAGAGAGAGAGAGAGGTCGCAGTTCGATTACACTCGTGCACACGAGGCTGTCGAGAGTTTCTTCGCTCAACTGCTAACTGCGGCTCTCCTGACATTTTCTGTTGAAATTTTCACCCTTGCTTCGCTCAGCGAACGAGAAAAGATATTTTAAGGGAAAGTTTGGTACAAAACCGAGGCAAGGAATAACGATTAATGTACGAAATAGTGATCTGTCTGTGGAAATTTCTTAACAACTATGGAAGGTGGTCTGTTATGATTTTGGCAAAGTACAGTACATTCGTGCTCATAAAGTACGATCGATACGAGGAGGAAATATAATGAAGTGGTAAGTCCGGCTGTAATATGTACTCATTCTTCAATCAACGTTCTCGATCCAACAAGCTTCCGTTATTCTCTGGTAACGAGCGATAAATCTCCGCCAACTCCTCCATCGACGGAACATTCCAAACAACACTAGCTCCTCTCCATTGGTTTCCAACGTTTCTGGGCATCCCTTCTCCCCCCTCCCCCCGTTCATTAGTCTCCCGCGTCGATGATGTTTCTCGTCATCGCGACAACGAACACTAGGAATAATCTTGAAGATTTCTCCGAGCACTGTCTCGAGCATCCGTCAAAGTTAGAACTGTACAATATAATGGCCCACTTTGTAACAACGGCGATGTGTCTCTCCGTAACAGCGAGAAAGAAACGATCTCCATTCTTCCTTCTCATTCGCTTTTACACGTTAACTCGCGGACATGATCATCGTCGAAAGAAATGATCACCGGGACGAGTTCTTCGAGGATGAGCTACTGATCAAAATCGATCGATCGAGAAAGGGAAAATATCTATTTGTTAAAGGTAAAAACGATCTGTCCTCTGTCCGTTTTTTTCTTTCTTCTTTTCTTTTTTTCTTTTTTTCGTTTCACCGGCTTTCTACGCGACCAGGTAGATCGACGATCCATCGTTGATCGTCAGAGTCGATACTCGTTGCCGGTTGACTAGTCCGTGATTCGTCGATCTCACCGACGACGCGTGACTGACATCGTTGCTTCGACGTGTTTGCTCGCTCCGTCTTGTCTCGCGATGCCCCACGCGCCACGAAATTCACGTCTGACTGCCGGCGGAGATCTCCCGGCACTGTTGTCACGCCCTGAAACACACGAATTCACGATTTCTCTGTTAGGTTTGTCTTCGTCTTACTTTCGGTTGTCTTTCGTCTTACTTGACGCCGCCTAAACGGAAAGTTCACTGTCAATCCCTGGGGTCTGACGCCGACCCTTAACGTGTTAAATTTGTGTTATTTTTACTTGCAACATCATAGCTTATTATTAGGGTGTTACAACCTGTAAGATTTTTTTTTTTTTATATTGTATATATAAGGTTATTTCCCTTTTATATTCCTTTGCATTACCGTTTACTATTTCTGCATTGTTCTCTTTGTATCTTTAAACAATTTAGAAACACGAACATGCAAAGAAAAAGAAAACGCGCAACGCTGTCTAAAGGAAGCAGAAAACTCCGTGTCTCGTTGACAATGACTTTTCGTTTCTTTGAAACAGACACTTTGTCTAAAATGCTGGTCCTAGTCCTTTACCCTCCTCCCGCTTCATTTTCGGGAAATCTAACGTTTCGTTATCGTCAGCCGTCAAAGGATTATCTTAAACATTCTCTGTAATTACGGCGGTGCATCAAACGTTCCCTCCATCGTTCGTAATTAGCGTTTCAAAACACGTTCAAGCTATTAACCGCGCTGCAAACATGTTAACAGAAACATATAGCTAGAACACTTATCCCATCCAGGTGTGCACGGTCAAAGAGATAGCCTGGCTTTAATAATTTACACAGGATACGGGAGCCGAAGTCAATCCTGGACAAAATACAACATTCGCCCAAGGATGTTCGCGAGAGGTGCGGAACGACGCAATAAAACAACCGAGGCAAGGTATTAACGTTCGGGAATAAAAGAACGCGGAGATGAGATTTTTTTTTTATCGTGATGGTAATCCGTCCTATTTCCGTTTCACGATCATTTGTGAGAGCACAACAATTTCTCTCTTTTTTGCTCCTTTCCTCGATATCCGTCAAACGTTTTAGGACAATGAGATTTCGACGATGTTAGGCAAATGTTGTCACGCTGAAACACGCGATGAACGAGATTTTTTACCACAGCGAGGTTTCTGACGTAACTGTGAGGAGAGAAACTTAAGAGAAGTGAGAATTTTGGATTGTCGATTTAGTTGCCAAGTGCGGTGGAAATGTTGCGCAGTGAATAGTTTAATTTATTCAAATACGCGGGAAAATATCTTTTGCAGAAAAAGAGAAAAGAGAGAAACGAGGACAATGTTAAAAAAATCAGTTGGATAATATACATAGTGTTTCCGAAATCCTGGTGCAATCCGTCAGGGTGCGATTCTACGTGTAAAATTTCCATATGAAATATGCCTCGTTTTCGAGAGAATCGAAAATTTGAAGATTTGTCATGTACACTTTAAAAATTTGAAAAGTGTGTCGAAGATATAGAACAAAATTTTTTTCTATGCTTCATCTTGGAACTTGAAAATTTGCCAAGTACACATGTACCAAGGCAAATTTGAGCGGAACAAACCCGTGATTAAAAATGAAGCAGTTTAACTTCTTGCGCTGGAATGACGTGCCACGTACGTCGAGAATTTTTTGTTCCAAAATTGTAATATTTCCCCAGTTTTAAGTATATTTAAGTAAAACAAAATTGGCAAAACAAATAATAAATTTATTGCTTCTCAATAATTCCTATCCAGTGATATCACACGGACGAGTTCAAAAAGAAAGCGACGAATTATTTTATATATGGTTTGGTCACTCGTTACGGTCCGCAATCAGTTTCAAGCGCAAGTGGTTATAACTTCTTGCGCTGGAATGACGTGCCACGCACGTCGAAAATCTTTTATCTCAAAATTGCAATATTTTCACATTTTTAAGTATAATCGAAGCAAAACAAATAATAAATTTATTACTTCACAATAATTTCTGTCCAGTGATATCACACGGACGAGTTCAAAAAGAAAGCGACGAATTATTGTATATATGGTTTCGTCACTCGTTACGGTCCGCAATCAGTTGCCAGCGCAAGTGGTTAAACACAGATCGGAGGGATGAGTACAAGTCAGATAGATGATAGATGAATTCCAGGAGCAAGAGATGTCGCGGGAGAACAAAATATTAAATATTAAATCTACGCTATGATATAAATACGCTGGAAGAATCAATCACGACGCGACATTGAACGAGAGAAAAAGTTGTACCATTGAAAGAGGACCTCACTGCCTCGAGAGAGAAATTCAAAACTGCTCCGGCACAGCCGAGGGATGAGAAACGCGCGTTATTACGAACGAATTTCATGCGACTTCGTTACAAGGCTTGGTTGCCGAAACACGACCAGCATCTCGGTTCAATCTTCCACGGAGATTGAAGCACCGCTGGGACATGTAACTTCGAATATGAATATATCGAAGGGTGGGGAGGCGAGCTCGTCCGTGTTACGCTTGGAACACGATGAAATCGCTGGTAACACGGCTCCGCGGTAACATGCCTCCCTCCTATGTGTGCACTGGTACTCTCTGCGTGCGTCTTCGTGGGTGAATTCAAATGAGAGACGTCGTTCACCACCGTGTAGATGCGTGTAATGGATATATTTCACTCACGGCGGAAGATACGCGCGCGCGCGCGCGCGACGGAAATGTCGGACGAGTGCCGTTACACAATTTAAGTGTGTTCCGTTTTGCATAAATTAATTATTCATTGCACGCTTTAACCGATGCTTTTCGTCTCGATCGATGTGTCGCGTCGGCATCGATTGCCTCAAATTACCATGTCGATCGCGATTTATCGTTTTGCTATTCAGATAGAGGAACGTTCCCGGATTCCGCGAGGAATCGTTGAACATTATCAGCAATTATCGCGGTATCGAACCACTTGTTTATGAAAGTTGTTTCAAAAAATATATCTTGCGTGTTGCGTAACTTCTGAAGAACGTATTCTAGGAAATAAATGATGAAAGTCGCGTAGAATTGAAGGGAACAGGAGTTGTGTGAGTTACGTCACTTGTCTAGACTGAATAAAAGTGTTGCGCAAAAAAAAAAGGTAAAGGATGTTTCATAGAAAAATCGAGAGAATCGATTTTATATGTGCAGGTTGGTTACGTAACTTATCGATGAATGAACAGATGTTACTGTTGATAAAATTGTACGTTAACAAAGACATGGATAAATCAACGTGTCTCAAATTCTGGCAATCCTTGGCTCTAAAGACGATAACGATGAGCTTCTTAATGAACTCCACACTATTAATGACTGGAAGATATTATATAGATATCAAGTTCTACGACCGAGCACTGCCGGTATCAGCTTTCACGACCAAAGGCAACTGATCATTAGCACGACCAAAGATTTCATCAGAAATCAGGCAACTCGCACGTCGAACTGCTCAAAAATCACGTTTCATTGAACGACTAACGTCTCCAAGTACGACGACCAAATAAAATGACGAGTTTCGAATAGATTGAATCATACACCGCAGAAATCGATGCGGCGCATCCTCAGCGTATCCAACGCGCTCATTATCACCGCGTCACTGTAGCAATCGCATAAATCAAACGAAACAACGCGTACAATTCACGAATCTCTTCGATACTGGCGCCGCGGCTTCAAAACACTAAAACGTTCGATAAAACTGACGATTCGAATCAACACGGGTCGAAATCGAGGGAAAATGATCAAACGGGATGATAAATTTCGATCGTCGAGAGAGAACAAGAACATTGTCCCACTTCGTGAAAATTCGTATTTGTCTTTGGTAGAATTGCGAAAAATTGTCGAAAGTCTCTCGTTGAGTGCAATGATAGTATTGTGGAGCTCTTTTTCTTTTTTCTCAGAGTTCTAGGTTCAGAGAAAATTTAATTGGCAATCCCATAATTTTCTCCTGGAATTCCAAAGTCTCTGACGTGTGACAAAGCAAATTAGTAGGAAAAATTAAATCAGAATTGGCTGAGAACAAATTGGGAAACAGCGCAAAGAGCCGAGAGTTGTCGAAACAAATGTATTTTTCAAGTTACGAGCTATTGAGGAAATTTCGAACTATTCGCTGAACTAGCTACAGTACTAAAGACAAGCGACTAGTCGTAACGTTAGTTTAGTAGCTTTAAAGACGTATAGCACTTGGCTTTCACGTGCTTGATTGTTCACGAACGTCCAATTGTTCGCAGGCGTACCATCTCGGAAAAGTGTCGTTTAATTTCCAATGTGTACGTGACAATGTGCGTACGAGTATGAAAAGGGTCGGGGGAGAACTCAATTTTTCAACGTTGACAGTTCGAAACGAGAAATTTGGTTTCTTTAAAGAGAGAGAGAGAGAGAGAAGGATTTAAATTGATTTTCATGGGGAGAGAAATATCGTTCGTTTCGATGGAATCACCTTGTACATGGCACGAGACGCCAATCGCCGCCAGTCGTTGCAGATTCTGCAAAAGTGGGTACGTCGCGTCGGCGTGCTACGATCGCGGGATCGACGAAATCGTGATCGAAACGGTGGTACGCGGAGGAGAGGGAAGGAACGAGAACGGGAGAAAATTGGAAATTCGGAGATTCGCGCCGGAGGAAACCGGTGACGGGGATGAAACGGTGTCGGACAATGGAACCCGCGCCCGGTTGTAACTCTTCTCTCGCAGTAGATTTATGACAGGTTGACGAGTAGCTGACCAACTCGCCATAAATATTTACTTATTGCACACGTTCGACACGTGAAATTTTTCACGACATTTTGGTATAATTGTTGGATGGTTTTAACTCTTCGTCGAGATGTCAGAGCGAATGCTTCAGTAGTAGTAGCGATACTTGATCGGACAAAGAGCTACGCCAAAAGAGGCAGTCTTTGTTAACTAACTCGTCATAAATGTTTTAAATATTTTTCACGACATGTTTGTATAATTATTGGGTAGTTTTAAGTTTTTGAGATATCGGAGTGAATACTTCAGTAGTAGTAGCAATATTTGATCAGGCAAAGAGCTATGTCAAAAGAGACAGTCTTTGTTAACCAACTTGCCATAAATATTTTAAATATTATACATGTTCGATGCGTGAATATTTTTGTATAATTGGATTATTGATTCTTCGTCGA